TTTACATTTGTAGGGCTTCTCTCCAGTATGAATTCTCTGGTGTTGTGTAAGGTTTGATCTTCGATTAAAAGCTTTGCTACATTCCTTACATTTGTAGGGTTTCTCTTCAGTATGAATACTATGGTGTAGAGTAAGGTGTGTTCTTCGAGTAAATCCTTTCCCACATTCTTTACATTTATATGGTTTCTCTGCAGTATGAGTACTCTGGTGCTGAGAAAGACCTGCAGTTTGTCTATATTCTTTCCCACATTTTTTACATCTATAGGGCTTCTCTCCAGTATGAATTCTCTGATGTTGAGTAAGATATGAACTACACCTAAAAGCCTTGCTACATTCCTTACATTTGTAGGGCTTCTCTCCAGTATGAATACTGTGATGCAGGGTAAGTTGTGCTCTTCGAGTAAATCCTTTCCCACATTCTTCACATTTGTAGGGCTTCTCTATGATATGTATTCTCTGGTGTTGAGTAAGTTGTCCTCTTTTAGTAAAACTTTTCCCACATTCTTCACATATGTGGGGCTTCTCTCCCATAGGAATACTTTGGCATTGAGGAAGGGTTGAAATTTTCTTAATTTTTTTTTCACATTCCTTACATTTGTACACATCTTCACTGCTATGCCATCTCAGGTTTTTAGAAATTGTTGAGCAAATATTAAAGGATTTGCCACATTCTTCACATTTGTAGGATTTCTGTCCATTATGAATTCTGTGGTGCTTAAAAGAGGGCTGTTCTTGATTATAAGTTTTGCCACATTCTTTAAATTTGAAGTGTTGTTCACTGTTATGGTACCTGTGGTGTTTGAAAAGTGGTATGGAACTCCCTGCTTGACCACATTTCTTAAATTTGTAAGGCTCCCTTCCAGGTTGAGCTCCACTATACTGAGAAAGACTTGCAGTTAGATAAGAAGGTGTCTCATATTCCTCACAATAGCAAGGCATCTCTTGGATCTGAGTACTTGGATGGTGATTTGTGCATTGAGAAAAGACATTCTCCCATTTCTCATTTTTGTAAATGTTCTGTGCACAATGACCACACTGATGTTCTCTTTTATTGCAACCAAAGCTAAAGTTGTTATGAGTTTTGCTACATTCATGCTTTTTCTCTCCAATGTAAGGGCACTGGTAATTGCTTAGCATAGAGACCTGGCTGAAGGTGTTGCTTGTTTCATCACATGTATTACATGCTTTCCAGAAATCTATATCTGAATTTTGATTAAGTAGTATGGAGTACATAGGGGCCTTTCCACAATCATTAAAAGTGTATGTTTGGGCAGGAGAAGAAATCTTTTGTTCATTGCAGAATGATGAAGAGATTGTAAAAAAATTTTCAAAATCAACACTTTCAGAAACTTGTCCTTCAGTTATAAATTGAATACTTTTGTGAGCTATTAAATCTTCTTGAGGACTGTTGATGGTATTAAGAACATTTTTATTAAAAATAGTCACTTCTAATTGGTCTTGTCCTTTATAATATGATTTCTGACCTTCACTGCTACCTATACTATTCTGTATTTTCTTTTCTTGTAAGTGGTCAAGTTTGCAATATTCATATCTTCTCTTTAACATTTTTATAAATAAATGCTGTCTGCTGGGTTCTGGTAAAATTTTCTGAGTATGATGAGAGGTCATGGCTGAAAAAATGCAAATAACAATTATTTTACATATTGGTCTGAGAATATACTTTACAAATCTAACATAAAATTATAGCTGTCAGGACATCAATATGGTGGCAGATTGAAAGTCATCATTACTCCATAAATATATGAACTAAATAACAATGGACAGACAAATTTTCTTTGTGAGAATTATCCAGTGTCTAAGATGAGTATACTATTAAAGAGAGTATTATAGCAGAGGAAATTCACAGTATCCGAAGGAGTATATCACTAAAAAGTGTAATACAGCAGAGGACAGAATAGTATATTATTCACCACAGGCCTTCCTCCTTGAGAAATCACCATTGTACAATTAGGAAAAATTAACCAACTCCCTTCTTCTCTCTCAATAGGAAAAGGGAAACGTAAAATGTGAATATTTTTGGCTTTCTTGAGGATTGCCTGAAAACCACTTTCTGTCTACCATGAGAAAGACCTGGATATAAGAGATGTTGGATGACAATAACAGACATTCAATAAGGTTTCAAAGAGTGTATGGTCTCAAAGGAGAAATATGAAAAAATCTTTTTAGTGGTAAACATATATCATATATCATACACACTCACACACCCACACATACACACACACACACACAATCCTATGTCAGTATTACGTGGATAAAGTCAACACATGGAGATGAAGACAAATGACTCAGTTTTAAATTTTTATAAATTTGGTTATTTATGGATTTATTTCATTTACAAATTAAATTGCATGTGTTTTCCAAGAATTTCATGGCATTTGAAAATATAAATATATGATGACATGACTAATTGTAGCTAAGGAACATTTTATATACTCATCATTTTAGTTTATAGAAAACAATGCACTCATTCTACTATCAAAAATATACTACATTGGCCAGTGTGGTGGTACAAGCCTCAAAACCACACAACTCAGGAATCTGAGGATCCCAAGTTCAAATCCAACCTGAGAAAACAAGTAATACTATAAGTGACTTAAAAAGACCCTGAATCAAAATAAAAAAATAATAATAAAAGGGCTTGGGATGTGGCTCAGTATTTAAGTGTTTTGGGGCTCAATACTTCTTGTATCCTTTAAAATAATACATTGTGGTCTTTCATCAACACTCTGAAAACATAGGAGCTGGTAACCATTTTACTCTCTGTACTTCTGAGTTCCATATGTGAGTCAGATGAGGCTGCAAATTACTTTGTGTGGCTGCCTCATTTCCTGTAATTCAAAGTCCTGCATATTCAGCCCTTGTCACTTTAATTGACAAGATAACTCTTTCTATTGGTAATTGATTATGTATAAATACCATCTTTTTTTACCCATGTAACCCTTGATAGGCACATAGGTGGGAGTCCATGTCTTGACTACTCTGAACAATGTCTCCACTGAAACAGTAGTGGAACTCTCTCTTCAACACACTGATTTATTCTCCGTATGATACCTATTTAGAACTTGCATTTCTGGATCATAATGTCATTCCACTTTTAATTTTTTAATGTGTGGTTCTTAGGATTAAGCTCAAGGATGCTATACTAAAAGAGAGTAAAATGGTTACTAGCTCCTGTGTTTTCAGAGTGTTGATGAAAGACCACAGTGTATTAAATTGTTTGAGACATGGTATGACATGCCTCTTGCATGTCTTCCCAATTACTTGGGATTTCAAACATGTAGCACTGTGCTTTCTATTTTTTCATTTCTTTACTAAGTTTTATATTGTTTTCCAAAGTGACTATTAATCTACTACTGGCTGGCTTTTATATGGACAAATCTAAAATTGTACAATACACAAAGAAAAATGGACACTTGGCTAATCAATGGAAAAAAGTGAAACACTAGGAATTGAACATTAGGAAAGTAAGAGTTATGAATTATCCAAAGCACCTAAATAACCTTTTGAAATAATTTTAGTTTAGTGAACTAAGAAAGAACATAGAAAACTGAGAAAATTTTAGACAAAAAGTCATTACTATAAACAAGCAAAAATCATGTACTTGAAGACTTTCTTAAGAAACAGTGTCTGAGAGAGTCAGGGGGGGTTGGGCACAGCTGTAATCCTAGCAACTTGGGCAGCTGAGCCAGAAAGATCACAAGTTTGAGGCCAGCTTCAGTAACTTAGTGAGACTGTCAAAAATTAAAAATGAAAAGGGATGAGGCAAAGGGCAGTAGAAAAGTAACTGAGTTCAATCTCCAGTATCAATTTTAACAGCCTGAGAAATTATTAATAGGAGCAAAAAAAAAAGAAGTCCAAATAAAAGAATCTAAATTATGTCTAAGTAGAAACAAACAAAAAGACCAAAGTTCACTGTTCTCAATTATTCAGTGGTCACAAAGAGAGAATCTTGAGAGCACCAAAAGAAAAATGTGCAACTAAGAAGCATACTTGAATATTAGTCAATTTGTTAATGGAAGCTTTGCAATACAGAAAAAAAAAGTGGGGAACAGCATCAAAGGGATGACAAAACAAAATTATCAACTGAGAATACTACAATCAGAAATACTATACTTCAACATCAGTAAAAATAAAGAGTTTAAAAATATATAAAGGCACACAAACATTATGCCTACTTGACTTCTTTTTCAAAAAATACTAAAGTGAATTACTCATATTAAAAAA